TGGTGTTCAGCTGAGTTCTTTATCTCTTCATTTGATGTTCTAGGGTTTCAGGATTGTTGATTCTCTGTTTGGCTTAGTTTTTCGGATCTTTGTTGTGGAAGGACGGCGTGGTGTTTCTGCCTAGAGCGCCGTCTTGCCGGAAGTCCTCCAGAATGCCTGCTTTCTAAGGGAAATTACTTCACCCTTAGCCCTTGCTGTATAGATAGTCCCTTTTTGTGTTTAGCCATTACCCTTGGCTGTGGCTGAGTGGACTCTGGAAAACTGAACCGAGAACAGTGCGTTATGGCTTGATACAGAAAGATGAACTGGGGTAATCAAATTTTTCTCCAAAGGATGTAAAACTGTAAAATGTGAAGAGATGGAGACAATTTTGACAGCAGGAGCAAAAACTGAAACTGTGTAGTAGGAAACAGATTGAGGTGTAGACATGAGGATGAATCTATTAATGTGTTATGGTGGAGCAAAAATGTGAGAAATCAGAGAACACCATTTAATAGGGGAACTGAAAGAACCAGATATATGGAATTAATAAGTAGTGCAATAGAGAGAAGATTGATTGATTCATTCATTCATTCCTTAATTAAACAAATTAACATATTAAGTCACTGCTACGTACCAGGCACTGTTCTAGCCTACAAGTGTTTTCTCTGAAAAACATTTACGTTATTCCAGTGGTTCTCAACTGGGAGCAATTTTGCCTACCACAGGACGTTTGGCAATATCTGGAGACATTTTGGTTGTCACAAGGGGGTGAGCATGCTGGCATCTAGTGGGTAGAAGCAAAGGATGCTGCTAAACATCCTACAGTGCACAGCACAGCTTCCTGCAAAAATGAATTGTCTGCTCAAAATGTCAATAGTGCCAAGCTTGAGAAACCCTGGTTTAAGTGTGTATTTTGTGGAATACAGTAATTGTGATCTTACAGTTGACATTTAACTTTCTGTATTTTCAGAAGTGAGGAAGTTTACTGGAGTGAAATGGAGGCCTCAATAATATTACCCATTCTGAAGAAAAAACTAGCCTTTCTTTCAGGTATGTTTTTGTTTTTTTTTTCTTTAAAATTGGAAGTGTTTTATATATATATAAAATCTTATTTAAATTTTTCTTCTTTGATAAGTTTGACAGAAATGCATTTTTTTTTTTGTTTTTTTTGCATGAAGGTTTTGTTTAAAAAGTATCACGAGACATCTTTTAACTTTCATGGATAGCTGTACAAGCTGTCATTGTTGGCAGTTGGCAGGGCAATTTTTATTCTGTCCTGTAATTTGATTGAAATGATAACACAAGGTAGAAGTTATGATGCTTCGCCTTTTATATAACAATGCAATAATTAATACAGGGCAAGAATAATTGCTGACATCTAAAGGCTTGTTTCTGAAATGTAGTTAGGTATTATAATATCCTGTTTCCTAGTTTTTTTCTTGCATCTCCCTATGAGAAAGTTTCAGTATGCTAGAGGAGTTATAAAATATCCATTGCTTTCACTTTTTACTGTTCGAAATTGATTACAGAGGCTTAAATTTAGCTTCAGTTATTAATCCAAAGTCTGTATCAGCTAAGAAGAGTCAAAGAGAATTGGTGAAATATTTTGCTAGTGTGAGAGCAGTGGTATGGTACACTGGGTATAGGATTTTCTGGAATCTTGGGTCATTGAATAAATCTACACATGCTTGGGAATAGGTACTGTGGCCTCACCTAACTAGGGTTATTCGTTTTATCCAGACTACATTATCTGGTTTTTTCTTATTCTCTTTGGGTCTTGTCAGAATTTTCTTGATATTTATGCTATTAATGTCCTTTTTAAAAAATGTTTTTGTCTGTAAATGGGCATGCTTTCCTAGTATAAGCTATAAAGGATAAAATAAAAAATTGAATTCAGCTAGTATTGTTTCCTTATTTAATAATATTTTCTTTTTTCTTTTTATTACTTCTTCCTTTGTCAGTAGATGCTTAAATTTTCCCCATTCTTTTCTAATATGAATGGTGTTGTAGTAAACATTCTTATCCATAGCTTTGTGCATTGTGTACAAGTTCAGCAGTATAGATTCCTGTAAGTGAAAGTCATTAAATGCATTTAAATTTGTTGGGTTTTGTCACATTGCCCTCTTAGCAGATTTTTTCAGTTTACGTTTCTCCCAGCAATGTGTGAAAATGCGTGTTTTCCCATACCATTGCCGTAGTGTATATTATTATTATTTCATCATTTTTATCAGTGACATTTTTGAGTCCTGCAACACTAATCTGTGCAGCATTTGATTTGTTGACCATACCTATCTTGAAAGATTTTTCCTCTTGGCTTCTGCCCCTTTTGCTTTTGCCCTGGTGATTATTTTATTGTCCCTTAGCAAAAGCTGAGGGCATGAAGTCAGATGTAGTCCTGAATGTTAAACTCATCCTCTGAAGACCGTTCTACAGATGGCCAAAGTGCTACAGTGTAGGTATGAACCTTTATGTGGATTTGGTTTAATGCATGGATAAAACTTAGAAATTTTGAAGAGTAAATGAAACAACTCTTAGCCCGCCCCTCTTGACTTGCTCTCTTGATCACTGATTATTTAAGCCAGTAATTTTTACATTTTTTAATAGGAAGTTTTTTTTATACCTACAAAATCATTCTGGAGGTACTGTTTGAAAGCCATTTATGTGAGCCATTTATAAAAACATAAAACCTATATTCTAAACAAAAACCATATGCAGTTGAAGTCACTATTGATTATTAAGTTGAACCATATGAAATTACCATTTTGCGGTTAAACAATTGGTTGGATATCAACAGTTTATAGGGTTAACCTAATAGAAGGCAGAAGATCACTTCATGAATTGCATTCGTGTCACTGATAGTTTTTTTTCCTCCCACTTGGCACCTTTCAGTTTTTAGTGAGAGCTTTCTGGAGATCGTATAGAATCATTCCTTCAGTATTTGCTGGTTTTTAAGCTTCTAAGATTGCTGTAAACGTCATTTGGGTCAGAAGATGGGTTTCCATGTGAAAGTCAAGCATGTACGGAACTTACAAAGAAGCATTTGTGCACAAAAGTATTAGTTAAGTTTTTAAGTTTGCTTATGGCAAATTGAAGGCGACTTGAACTTATATGAAATGTAAGTGTTCCGTTACCTGGCTTTCAGGCTTCAATACCCATTACCATACAGTCTTCTCGTCTTGGCAGAGCATTGCCTCCTGAACAAAACAAGCTTATCTGACCTTTGTGAGTTGAACTCGGATCATTTTCTTCATAGAATGCCTCCTTCGATTTGGTTAATATAAATTCTTCTCATTTTTTTAAAAATCTTTTCTATGGAACTTTCATATTTATCACAGCTCTCACCATTTTCTAAATTCTTTTTATAATACTTTGTAATATGTTCTGTACAACATAATTTAGCAAGTAAACTCATTATTTCTTATGACTTACAGCTTAGCTTTTCTTCCTTGGTACATAATTGGAAATTCCTTAAGCCTGAAGCCTACAGTAAAACCATTTGTTTTATTTTGCTTGTAAGTGTTTATTGTACTAGGCACACAATAGGTGTTTGATGAATTGATTGCATTAAGCGTCAGACTAAATGGAAGAAAATTAAACAAAATTTAAATTGCTGTGTTTGGGTGAAGATTTCATGGCTGCATTTTATCCTTTTCTAAATTTTCTACAACTGTGTTATATTACTATACACATTTATAGTATATAAAATAAATAGCCATTCTTTTTTACTGATGTTTTAAATCTGTAATTGCTTTAGTAACTGGATACGAATATATATTATTCATAGATGCTTTAGTGTCTGTTACATTTTAAATTTATCTCTTTTTTCTTTAATAGGAGGAAAGGACAGACGAAGTGGCCTCATTCTGACAATCCCATTATGCCTGGAACAGACAAATATGGATGAGCTGAGTGTCACCTTAGACTATCTACTCAGCATTCCAAGGTGACTCTAAAGGTGTCTTTTCTTAAATCTCTATATGCTTTCATTCATCTTCTAATGATTCTTTCTACTGTTAGAAGTGTCTACTGTTAAAGTAGATAAAGCTATCTTACCTGCTTTTATTAGCAGTGAATGTAAAATTAAAAGCATTAGGATTAATTTTGACACCACAGCAAATAAAATACTTACTTTATGCTCTCTTGATGTACTTAATATGTGTCTTAGGCTGGGTTCTCTAGAGAAGCAAAACCAGTAAAGCACATAAATATATATAGAGAGAAATTTATATCAAGTAACCAGCTCGCGTGATTGTAGAGGCTAGAACGTCCCAAGTCCGCAGATCAGGGTAGAGGCCTCTCCCAGTTCACGTAGCTGCAGAAGCTGGCGAGCCCAAGATCAGCAGGTCCAAGAGCAGGGCTTCCGCTCACAGGCTGTGAAGGTCGATGAATTCCAAGATCGACAGGTGAGACCGCAGGGTTTCTCCTGATTCACGTAGCTCCAGGGGCTGGCGAACCCAAGATCGGCAGGTCAGAGAGCAAGGCTCCGCTCACAGGCTGTGAAGATCGACGAATCCCAAGTTCGGCAGATAAGCTGACAGCTCAAGTTGCAAGAACTGGAGATGAGACAGGAGGCAGAGAGAGCAAAAAGTCAGAAACTCTGCTTATATTCAGATGTGGGTCACACCCCCAGGGAAACTCCCTTTCCACTGATTGGCTACTCACAGCATATTCAATCATGGGAGTGATCACATATAAACACTGAGAATCATGGCCCAGCCAAGTGGACACACAATCTTAACCATCACAATATGATACAATTTTTAAAATGCACGTACTGTCAGCTTTTCAGGAAGAAAAAGATAAAGCATCTGTATACCGTGCAACTTTAAAAAAGGTAGTGACATTAATTCAGTAGAAAGCTTCTTTTATTTATGTACCTGTTTCACTCTATAGATGTATCTATAGGTTTTAATATAGAGCAGAGGCTATTAGGAGTTTTACAAAATATTTTTATTTAAAAAAATTATATTTTAACCCAAAGGTCCTTAAAATTTTAATTTTCACATTTCTTGAATGAAGATAAAAATTTCTTAAGTCTCATCACTTCAACAACAGCAAAAACAAAAAAAGCCTTCTTCTTAACTTCCTCTCCATAAGTGATATTTGGGAGCTCAAGTCTGACAGAACATTAGAATCATCTGGAGACCTTTTTCAGAATTCTAATGTCTGGGCATCTACCCCCAGACATTCTGATCTAATTGTTCTTAGAAGCGTGCTCATTAGAATTTTTAAAAAAATGTTTAAGCTTTCCAAATAATTCTAATATGCAGCCAGATTTGCAAACCACTGCAGTAAAGAGTGAGAATGAGGGCAGGGGCAGGGTTTTTGTGTTTGTGTTTGTAAAATGTAGAGGTAAAACAAGGAGCAAAACTGATTCTTATTATATAAGAATGCCCTTAAGCTCCAGATAGTGCATTTTAAATATTTTAGTTAGAGTAATTATTTGTATCCTTTTCCTTTACTTGTAGTTTATTAACATAGTACAGCTTATTTCATTTAAACCACCTTGCAGAGTACAGGGTGAAAACATTTTAAAACAACTGATTTTAATCAAAACTATTTTCATTACTGTAATTTAATGATTTCATTGCTGATTATATTTTCAGTATTAGGGAGCTAGAGATCATAAAGTAAAACTTGCCTATTTTTTCACTCTCTGTAGAGGGAAATTATCAGACCTCAGAGTCAGTGTATTAATATTAAATAACCTTGTTTAATCCTCCTAGCTGCTGATTGCTAATCTATTATTTACTATTACCATATTTTACTTAAATAACACCCACCTTCTGTTTGTTTGCCAACTGTACCATCCCACCACAAGGTATTTTCATAAGCACTGCTATGCCAATTTTTTTTTACATGTTGCTGTAAAAAAATTAAAAAAATACCTCGCGGGGGGAGGGCATGGTTGGCAAACAAATGTTGAAGGTGTGCGTTATTTGTGTAAAAATACATTAGATAACAAACTTTTTTAGGTAACCGATACTAGCCAGACTTGTAGCTAACAAATTTTGCAACAAGTATTCATGGACTTGTAGATAGTTAAATGTATCAAGAAACTTAGTGACTGTCTGAACCAACTGCCTTATTTTGTAGTTCAGGGAATTGAGATCAGAGTTTTAGAGTTACTTGCCAGGGTCAAACGGCTAGTTAGTAGTAGAACTGGGACTAGAATCTACAATTCCTGACACAAGTCCATAGCTTTTCCATACTTCACATTAACAGAGTACAGTGTCAATTAACAATCCAGTTGTATCTTATGTGAAATGAAGTTCTGAATTTAGAATGAAATGCAAAAACCATTAATAGTCAAAATTACTCTTGAAAAATGCCTAAGGAAGGATTAGAGACTTAAATACTATCTTTCCATGAACATGCTGGGTTTTTCTCCAGCATTGGAACATGTCATTGAGGCTGAGTTCTAGAAGACATGGTTTTTTCTCTTTCTGTGATTAGGTTTGTTACAAAAAAATGCATATTTATGTATATATTAGAATGACGCTCAGCTCAGTGGGATACTCACTTTATGAGAGGCACTGGGTAACTGAGGCAGGTTAAGGAACAAACACATTCCTGTCTCCTGTCTCATGTTCACTCTGGGATGGTAAGCCAATAAGTGGAATGAAGGGCAAAATAGCTGGCACTATTTAAATTCTCTCTCGTTCATAAGTATTACATATGATGCTACTCCATTGTAATTTAACATTCATGCTAGTCCCACTGTAATTCAGCTTCTGCTTATAGCCACATACATGCCAGCTCTAGAGAAGACATACGTTGAAGTCAGATGAAAGGGCTTATTCTAGCAAGGCTAAATAGATACTTGGGTAATTTATTTATCTTTCATAATAGTTTTTCTAAAGTTGTACTCTCCCAGATACTTGTGAAGACTCTGAATTGGATTTCTTTAATCAACCTCCTATAACTTTGACATTTAAAAACCTGGCTGCCAGCTTTATATCAGTACTTGCCATTTCATTAGAGAGCTAGAGTGTCTTTTTGAGCTATTTAGCACAACTCCGGATAGTAATTTAGTAGGTGTAATCTTAAGAACCAATTTTTCCACCATTCAGAACTGCTTTTAAATTATCCACCCCCAACATATATGAAAATTTTCAAATATACAGAAAAGTTGAAAGAACTGAACAGTAAACACCCATATACCCACCACTTAGAGTCTACAATTAACATTCTACTTTATTTGCTTTGACACATTTTTATGCATTTATCCTTCCCAGAACTGTTTTTAAGTTTACCCTGTCAGATCAGGCTTAGTATTTAGAAAGGTTTTTCCATGTCTAGTATTCCTGCATTTCTGTGTAACTTGTTTATGTCTCCCAGTCTCCTGCTGTTACAATTCCTCCAGCTGTGAGCATCTCCAGATACCTCAGAAGTGTAATTAGCTAATGTGACCTCTTCCTGCCAGGAAAAGCTCCAAAAGTAGTCTCTTTTTAACACTTTGAATATAACAGTAGCTTTTAAAAATTTATGTAAAAATAAAAAGAAACTATTCAGTTTCTTACGTACACTTTATGCTTATTTTTAATGACCAGGGAGTCATTAGGTGTACCTAAGCAGTGATATATACTATTTTAAATAGTATGAGAATGGGGCATTTCTTGGCCCCTTTGTTTCAGACTCTGAGTACAAAGGCTGAGAAGGGAAGGGTTAGCTTAACTGTAGCCTGACCTGAATACTGAGTTTATGTTCTTAACTCCTCATGTCTGGTTCTATGTGGAGTTCCAGACTAACCATTACTGTCCCATTTTTTTATAAAGGGTCAGTCATCGGTTTTAATATAGAATAACAGAGTGGTAAATTTGAGCCATCATGAATGTTAAATTTTAGGAGAGGTAAATGGAGTTTGTGTTTTGTTTTCCCAGCTATTGCTGTACATTTTAGCCATAAATATCAGGGTCAGAAATTATGATTCCATGATTCAGAAAGCATAACCAAATATAAGATTCCCTTAAGGAGGTAAAGACAAGAAATAATAAATTAGTCTGCATATCTTCTCATAAAAAAGTAAATACTGAGATTACCAATAACCAAAACCTCACAAATAGATGTTTCTCTCAGATCCTTTCATTACATATTTCAAAATTTTAAATCACAAGCATTTTCATATGTGTTAATAATCAACACAAGGCCAATCCGCAAAATGTGAAGATAATTCACCAGCCACCCATGTGACATTTTATCTCTCTGGCCCTAATCACCCAGTTAGGTCTTTACAAAACAGCTGCCTTTACAGCCCTCTTCTGTCCACCAGCCGCCCAGGGCTGGAGTCTTCACAGGTTAGGACTCTGTCCTTTCTAATAAACTGCCAAATAGGCAGACACCATGCCCATTTGGCACTCAAGGCTCCTGGTGTGTCCAATAGTTGCTAGAATGACTCTGAACTCACAGAAAGAGCTATATTCACTGTAACCTTTTTAATATATCCACAATTGGATATAATGATATATTAAGGGTGAATAGGTGCACAGGTAGGAGGTCTGGGAAGAGTTTTTGGCACAGAGCTTCATGTCCCCAGCGATGGGCCCATCCTCCCAAGTTCCAGGGTCAGGGGTTCTTTATAATAGTTATTGGGGCCTCTGTGTATATGCATGAGGGGACCTTAAAGCATAATGAGTGAGTGATTGAAGTTCACCAGGTGTAGTCCTTGGGCTCCCACCTCATTTGCAGTTATTTTAAGTGTTGCCTGGCTGCTTTAGAAAAACAAAGTCACTGTGGATTGCTAGGGAATTCCAAGGGCTATTTTCAGAAACCAGAGACAAAAGGCCAAATAGAGTTTTGTCCTACACATCATATTTAATGCATAGGATGAGATGTGTTTTCAATACTATTATGTGAAGTGTAATTACAAAGCACTGAGTCTGCCTGCTTTTTAAAAACACATGGCAAAGCATATCATGAGTGTTTCTCAACTTTTTAAAATTATCATTCTTGTAA